AAAAATAATAAAAAACCCTACCCCCCCCCCCCCCCCCCCCATGCTTGAATTATAGAATAAGGATTCTTACGTGGGTCGAAAGAGAATTTCTCTATCTTTTCAGGTGTAACATCAAGGACTACTCCAGGTCCTGCATGTGCATTCCCATAGCATGATTGATAAAGCCAAGTCGAAACTTATATACATAATACAAACAGAACTTACCAAGAGGACTCATTTCATCTAAACCTTCAGAATGAACAACTAATGCTCTTTTCATGCCATAACTTTGTAATGCTTTGGCCATCTTGCTGACCTACACACATATATATGAATGTCTGTATGAAATCATATCACCGAAAACACAGAGTCGTCAGAAAGCTTACTATATCTTGTTTGTACACTCCAACAACAGCAAAAGGTACCCAAGCAGGGTTGATTAAAGGCCCTAGGATGTTAAATATAGTCTTCACTCGAAGCTTCCTCCTCACAGGTGTCACTATCCTCATTGCTGGATGGTAGTATGGGGACATCATGAAACCTATCCCAACTTCTTCCACACATTTCTTCACTCCCTATTCCATATAAAATCATCTCAATTTTAACCTTGTTGGTGAAGTTTCGATTCCTGATTGCGTAAATACTTTTTAGTTGATTACATAAACTCCCTTTCACTCACCTCAGGATTTAATTCAATGGCGACTCCAAGGGCTTCCAAAACATCAGCACTTCCACAAGAAGAAGAACTGGACCTATTCCCTTGCTGCATATATAACTTAGCTCATTACAAGTGAAAAACTCCCAATAAATAATTAATGTTGTCAATCTAACCTTAGCAACTTTAGCACCACAAGCTGCAGCAAGAATAGCTGCTCCCGTAGAAATATTCACCGTATTGGCACCATCACCCCCCGTTCCAACTATGTCCACACAGTCATTCAGGCCTTCAACCTTTCTGCAACATTTGATCATCGATCTTGCTAGACCTACAACCTACATTTATTAAGCATGAAAAAGTGAGAGATTTACTCATTCTACATACAATTGATGACATGTTAAAATATATATGTACTTCTCGAAAGGTTTCTCCTTTAGCTCTTAAGAGAACAAGAAAAGCACTAATGAGTGCTTCACTGCCATCTTTTAGCAAGAAATCCAGTGAGGCCTCTGCTTCTGCTTCATTCAAGTCCTCCTTATTCAACAACCGCTCCATCAACTGCAAAAAGTAAAAAAAAAAAAACACAATAACCCTGTACAGCAGCTGAACTAAGTATATAATGAACCAAAGATACTTGGTATAACAAGCAAATTGGTATTGATAGGATCTGTAGCAGAACAGATGGAGCTTTCGGAAACCATGAGTGGATGTTACAATGGGGACACGTTATAACAGATTATGGAGTGCCCTTTATCTCAGATCACTCCCCTAATGCAAATGACATTACATACACTCGATAGTGACCTGAAAGTTCGATTTAAGTTTTTTAATGTGTGGGCCGATCATGCAGATTTTCTCCCTATTGTGAAGCAGACCTAGGACCAGACTTTAGATGCACAAAGTATGAAAGGTGTATGACTGAAACTTAAAGCTCTGAGATCTAAATTCAGACATTTAAATAATATTGAGTTCAAGTCAATTACTCAGAGAATGGAACTACCTAGAGAAGATCTCAAATTGACTCAGGAGAAGATCATTATTCAATGCATAGATTTGCTGCTCGAAAGAGAGAAACATCTCCTGATTGACTTGGAAAAATGGTCTTTAATTGAGGAAAGTACCATCAGACAGAAAGCTAGAGCTAAGTGGATTAAACTTGGTGATTCCAATACCAAGTATTTCTCTGCTTTGGTGAAGGATAGAACTCAGAAGAAACAAATGTTAGAGCTCAAAGAATTCTAGACCTCAAACAGTGAAAGAATTTATGTCTATTGCCTGTTGCTCAATTTTGTATAAGATTATAGCCAAGGTCTTAGCAGCCAGGTTACAGAAAGTGATAGAAAGTTTCATTTGTGTTGCTCAAGCAAGATTTATACCTGGAAAGAAAATAGTTGATAACATCATACTTGCTCATGACCTAGTCAAGGAGTATGGCAGAAAATAGGCTTACCCACGATGCATGATAAAGATTGATCTCCAAAAAGCTTATGATTCAGTCGAATGAACCTTCCTCAAGCAACTAATGGAAGGTTTGGGACTACCAAACAGGTTTATCTCTTGGATTATGTTGCAATCAGTAAATTATACAATCACGATCAATGGAGAAACAACCAGTCCATTTGGTGCTGCAAAAGGTCCGAGACAAGGAGATCCAATCTCTCCTTATCTTTTTTCCATTGCAATGGAATGCCTAAGTAGGAAGCTAAATGATCTCAATCATGTGAGAGGGTTCACCTACCATCCAAGATGTGCTAAACTTAACATTACTCATTTGAGCTTCGTAAATGATCTACTATTGTTCTCTAAAGGTGATTTTAACTCAGTAGCAACCTTATATAGTGCATTTGGTCAGTTCTCTACACCATCAGGATCACAAGCAAACTTAGGGAAAAGTGCTATCTATTTTGGGGGAATGACATAAGTAGTAAAAGATAGAATCGTGCAACACATTGGAATGGCAGCAGAAGAATTACCATTTAAAAACCTTGGTGTCCCTCTATCCATAGAAAAAATCTCTTTCATCCAGTGGCAACCATTAATAGAGAAGATAGTGAGCAAAATCACCTCCTGGACAGCCAAAAACCTCTCTTATGCTGGGAGAACACAACTTGTACTGTCAGTGATAGTTGGAGTTCAATATTATTCCAGATGCCAACTAAAGTACTTAAGTTTATTGAAGCCTACTGTAGAAGCTTTGTATTGTCTGATACAAATAAAATTATAAAGAAAGCTCTCGTCTCCTGGGAGAAGGTGTGTTTACCTAGAGCTTGTCGTGGACTAAATCTCATAAACATGGTCATTTGGAACAAAGTTGATATTGCCAAGACCTATTGGAATCTTACTCATAAAGAAGAAAAATTATGGATTAGATGGATCAATGAATACTATACAAAGGAAAAAGGATTGAGGATATTAGTATTCCCTCTCAGGCATGCTGGGTCATCCGAAAGATCTTAGAAGCTAGGCAGGTTGTATTACAGGTGCAACTAACCATCTCTGTCAAAAGTATTACCAAGCAGATTCATTCTCACTTCTCCATGTCTATCCTAAGGTGACATGGAAATGCCTAATGTATAAAAATGTTGCTATACTTAAAGCTCAGTTTATAATATGGGTGCAAGTACATGGAAAGTTTCTTACTACTGATCAATTAGCAAAGTGGGGGATTGACGTGGAACCAGATTGTGTTTTCTGCCAGAACTCCCATGAATCTAGAGATCATGAATGTACCTTTTCTAGGCAGCTGGGGAGTAGAATCCTATTAAGGTTGTACACACCTATTATCCATGCCACAACACGGGAACAACACATGGAATGGGTGATAAAGAATGCAAAGGGAAGAACAATGAGAGCTCGGGCCTTTAAAATCCTATACACCCTGAATGTGTCTATGCCATATGGTTAGAGCGGAACCAGAGAGTCTTTGAGAAGAAAGCCTGGCTAGTGAGTTTTGATATAGTTTTTTTTTCTCTGATGTGAGATAGCTAGTATGTCAACTAGCTAGTTATAGATCTGTAATGTTGATGCTTTGGTGATTAATACAAAATGTTAGTTACCAAAAAAAAGAACCAAAGATTAGTTTTAGATATGCTCCTGGACCAACTGTAACACTAAAGTTACAAAAGAAAAGTAATTGAACTTTATCATTGTAACAGCAAGGTAACTAAATTTTATTCACTATAAGATAAAATGTATGTTGCGATGGATGTATGGGTATACTAGGAGTAATAGGATTAAAAATGAGGATCTCCGAAACAAGGTGGGAGTGACTTCGATGAAGACAAGGTGCGAGAAGCGGGGTTCAAATGGTTCGAGCATGTGATAAGGAGAAAGATGGATGCCCTAGTGCGTGTGAGAGGTGGCCTATGGATGGATTCAGGAGAAGCAGAGGTAGACCAAATAAGTATTGGGAGAGGTGATTAGACATGACATAGCGTAGTTGCAGCTTACAAAGGACATGACCTTAGATAGGAAGGTGTGGAAGACACGAATTAGGGTAAAAGGTTAGTAGGTAGGAGTGTGTTGTCTTGTTGTCCTTTCTAGTAGTCATAGTACTACTCTTGTAGGTTCTTGTTCTTCGATTTATGTTACTATCTATTGTTTCTTTTAGTTCGATTATAGAATTATTATTGTAGTATCCTCTCTACCTCACCTCTAATGTATGTGTACTCTCTATCCCCCAAGACCCCAGGCCACTCTATTAAACTTCACTGGAAATGTTATTGTTGTCACAATAAAATGTATCCATCAAAATGACTTTATTGTGATATTGATAAAGTTTGTGATGTTACAGTTAATAAGCGGATCGAGGATTCTCATGAAGAGGTGTCAATAGTTGTAAGTAAGAAAAAAAAATTATAAGGCCACCAAGGCTTGAAAACACAAGGAACTTTTGTAACACCTTAATCACTAGACTAAGCATTTCACTTGTGTCAAGGAGCATCAATACTTTTATATATATTTATTAAACCAAAGTTTGACCTCTATATACAATGTAATTTTCCGACGCGACACCCCGGGTGGATCCGCCCACGTATTAAGGTTTAGTTACTTATAATATGATAAAATCAGTCTCATTTTACTAATATAGTAGGTATAGCTCAATAGTTTTGTGACTAGCTATTAGAGTAACCATATGGACCATATGATATTGTCACTCAACTCTTTTGTTAATGCACCAAAGTCAAAAAGCTATTTGGTCAACTCAAACAACTTTTTGTACATTCCACTTTGTCTATAAGTATATCACTTTTTGTTTTCCCCTACTGATACTTGGGTAAAAATGAGTGATTTTTCCATTTTAATAATAAATTTAAAGTGCAATAAAGTTGAAGAAGTATGTATTAAAAATGCTAACCTGTTGAGATGATAAATTGGGAAGGTGCAGTGAAGATGGAGAGTGAGGCAAATGCAAATCATTAGCTAAACAATTCAATCTCCTACTTTGGAAATGGGGAATTTTGCAAGAAAAAACTATGGGGTTGAGGGTGACTCCAAACACAGACATTGTTATTGTTGGTAAAGGAGATGTAAGAGTGACTCAACTCAACTATACTTTATTTATTTGGTGTAAGTAACCCATAAATGCATTTGGATACCACTCCCAACTACCCAAAAATTATGAAATCAATTCAATGTACCCCTCACTTGCTCAACCTTCCTAATTAAAACCATCCACTCTTTTTATGTCACACTAGTTCTAGTGATTTTATTTGTTTGACCATTAAAATATATTCTTTCTTCTTCTTTTTTATTATTATTTTATTTGAAAAATAGTGTTTCGTTATAAAAATTTAATTAAATTTGAAGTTTGATTTCCAAATTTGAAGAACTTCCCAACATAATCAATTCTTTTTTAATTAAATGTGGCCATTAGGCCCAATTATATTTTATTTATATAGAAAAACATATAAAGGTAAATTAAAGTCGGTAAAGTTAGAGTTGTATTTGATATACCCTGTGCAAAAAGTATATCAAATACAACTCTAACTTTAATTTTTTCAAAAAAAATAAAAATAAAAATTATATCTATGATCAAAAGCTTGCTAAATTTAGAATCTATTATTTTCTAATACTCCAATAATAAAATTATCAAAAAGGTATACTTTTATTAAAACCAATTTTATGATTAAATAATCCTTCAAACGTAATCTAAACAAAAGAAATTATAACTTTAATCAAAAGGTTATTTACAAAACTTAAGTTTTCTAATACTAGGACAAAAGTTGGATAGAAACATAGGGTGTGTTTGGTACGAAGGAAAATGTTTTCCTATAGGTGGATTTCTAACTTATTTTCTCATGTTTGGTTGGTGCGTAGAAAATATTTTTTAATGTTTGGTTGGTGAATGAAAAATATTTTTCATAAAATATTTTTATTTTTGGCTTGAGACTGAAAAATAATCTTTAGGAAAATAATTTATGATCTGAAAATCAATCCTGATAATTGATCTAGGACCCGACCCCGACACCCAAACTAAAACAAGACCCCGATGACCATTCCAAAATCGACCCTGAGGTCTAACCCAGGACCTGGCCCAAACTTTCGACCTAGGAAAATATTTTTCAAAAAGAATTTAAAAAAAATTGGCAGGGTCGCGGCGCGGTGGGGG